CCATTTGCTGCTATTTTTATAATTGCCAAAAAAGTGAAATAATTAGTTCATGTAAATACATGATTTTTCTATTTTATTATGAAGAAGGTGAATAGCCATATTTGTAATGTGACAATCATGTGTGTTAACCCAGTACCTTGTGTTTATGGAGACACATTTGCTTTTCATGATGTGCACAGTGTAGATAAATGTTCTGTCTGACTTTTTTGATATAGAATTATGAAGAATTGTGCTTTATCTATTTAAAGATATCAAACCGAGTATTAAAATGTTTGCATGTTGTCTAAAAAAAATGGATACTTTGAATGTGTTCCACAGTTTGAAATAAGCTATATAATGTAATACAATGTAATACTTCTTGTTTGTATGCACCTGACCTTAGATTTTACATGAAGTTTTTTTCAGTATTATATATATATATATATATATCTCCTTTGAAATACATAGGGATAGATATGCTTACTATACCAAAATGTTGAAAAGCGGGCACTTAAAGCTTTCAGAATATCTCAGTGCTGATGTAGCATATTTGTTGCAATTGCTTATTTCTGTATAAATGTCTTCAATGCAATATACTAGAAAGCTTTTCTATTTTAATAAAAATCCTATCTGGTCATTTGTTCTTTCAAGCAATATGGACACTGGAAATGAAACAGTCAGTCACCCTTGGGTCAGCTATGTAACTCTGGAATAAGAAACCATGGATTGCTAGCGGGGGAGGAGGAACAGGGAATGAGCATGATGGAGGATGAATAGTGTCAAATTTCATGTGTTCAGGTATGAAGATGGGATAAGCAATCTTATAAACTTGAAGACAGAATCCCATTTTTAATGAACTTACAGAAGTAGCAAAATCATTCCTTTTCATTCCTTTGGGAAATAGCTATTGCCAAAGTGAAGAGGTAGATTATATTTCATGTTGTTATATAATGGGGATGCGTTTGGCAGAGGAATTGTTTTCTTTATAAAGTTTCAAGGGATGTCAGTGTTCATTTATGCCATTTCTTCAGTTCCAAAATGGTTCTATTCCATACCATAAATTTGAAATATGTAATCTGAAATCCTTAATAAAACTTGGAGTTAATTTTATTTAAAAAAAAAAATTTCAAAAGCTGTTAAACAGGCTGGGTGCCAGTGGCTCACACCTGTAATCCTAGCTACTCAGGAAGCTGAGATCTGAGGATTGCAGTTTGAAGTCAGCCCAGACAGAAAAGTCCATAAGACTCTTATCTGCAATAAACTACTCAAAAAAAAAAAAAAAAAAAAGGCCAGAAGTGGTGCTGTGGCTAAAATGGTAGAGTGCTAGCCTTGAGCACAAAGAGGCTCAGGGACAGTGCCCAGGCCCTGAGTTCAAGCCCCAGGACCAGCAAAAAAAAAAAACAAAAACACTACTTAATAGTAAGGGAGGGGGGCTGGGAAGGTGGCTCAGTGGTAGAGCCCTTGCCTTGCATGCATGAGGCCCTGGGTTCGATTCCTCAGCACCACATTAGCAAAAAGAAAAAAAGCCGGAAGTGGTGCTGTGGTTCAAGTGGTAGAGCGCTAGCCTTGAGCTGAAAAGCTGAGGGATAGCGCCCAGGCTCAGAGTTCAGGCCCACGACCAGACCCAAAAAAAAAAAAAAATAGTAAAGGAGGGGAGACAGGAAAAAAAACAATAGAGGGGATTAGTTTGATCAAAATATACCAAAATATATCAGAATATATACATGTTCAAAATACTATGGTGAAGCCCCTTAATACAAGGAATAAACACAAATGAATGACAGGAAAGTAAAACAAGTGCTGTTGAAGGTGGCTATCAGTACAGAAGCATGAATCAGGGGAAATATTAAAGTTCTTTAGATTCATATATGAAAACAGAGCAGCAAAAGCAATTGAAATTGTTACAAGGAATGGGGAGAGGATCTAAGAGAGACTGATAGAGTGAGTGGTAAGGTTGATGAGGTACATTATTGCATGGATGGAGATGTCTCATTGAACCCCCATTCCCACCTTTAAAACTAATGTATGTAATAATGAGAAAAAAAAGTGAAAGAAAATAGAAAACAAGTGGCCATCCCAAGGACCCTGGGAGAGCAGGGCAGATGGAACAGACCAGACCCAGACATGGCCCAGGGAAACAGCGGCAGTCAAGTGCTGAGATTGCAGCTTCAGGTTTTCCAAGCCCCAGGACAGACTAGGCAGGTCTACTTTGAACTCTCCACAGCATATCCTAAGGCAGCAGGCTCTGGAAGGAGAGACAGCTTAGGCAAATTCCCCAAACCTTAGTGGCTTACAATTGAAGCAATTTCTAGCCATACCATCTTCACTCCTAGTAACCAGTCCAGGGTCCTCACAAGGAAAAGAGAGAAAAGAAGGCACCATACCTAGCTCTGAGCTACTCACAAGTGATATTGTCATTTGTAATACAAATGACATGTGGCTAGTGTCTCTACTTGAGAGGCAGTCAGGAGGTTTGTAGTTAGCTGGGCATGGTAGTATACCTATCCTCCCAGCTGTAACAAGGAGCATAAAACAGAAGGAACATAGTCTAGAATGGCCCAGACAAAAAGCTAGATCCTGTCTCAAAAATAACTAGAGTGCCAGGTGCTGGTGGATCCTACCTGTAATCAGTTCTAAATACTAAAGCAGCTGAGATCTGAGGATCAAAGTTAAAAGCCAGCCCAGATTGGAAGGTCTACCTGACTCTTATCTCCAATTAATCACCAAAAAAAGCTGGAAGTAGAGCTGTGGTTCACAAAGTTAGAGTGAGCAAAAAAGCTCAGAGGCAGTGCCTAGGGCCTCAAGTTCAAGCCCCAAGACTGGGACCACCAAAAAGGAAAAGGAGGAGGAGGAAGAGAAAGAGGAAAAAAAGTTAAATGAGCCGCCTACTACTATTACTAATAATAATAATTAAAGCCAAATGGCTATGTAATAAAGTCCATTTCACAGGAAAGGTTAGCAGAGATAGATTCCCTTTTCATACTAATTAGTCATTTTACTGAGGGTATGGAGTAGTTCCGATAAATTGTAGTGCTGGAACACTTGCCTAGCATACCCAAATCTGTAGGTTCCATTATCAGAACTGAAAGAAAAAGAAAAAAAAAAAAGGCTGGGGGCATATCTCATCAATAAACCATTTGCCTAACATGCATAGGGCCCTGATTAAAAAAGTCAATATCAAGATGATATGAATCATAAATGTTTATACTTTGAATAAAAGGTTCAAAGTACATGAAGCAAAGTTAATATAGAACCTAAAGAAGAAATAGACAGATTTAATATCCCTGTCTCAATATTTGATAGAACAAGCAGACAAAATCAGCAAGGATATAAAAGAGCAACAACACTGCCAATCAATTTTATTGGCATTTAGGGGACATAGTCTTTCCAAGTGCCCAGGGAATATTCACCAAGACAAACCACACTTTGAGCCATAAAATAATGGTCAGCACATGTGAAAGAAATCACACAGGATATTTATAGTCCATAATGCAAGAGGCAACTTAGAAGATGCTTTTACCTGGGTCCTGGGAATTAACAAAAAGCCCTCCAATTTTCTATTTGTAGCCATTTCTCTGAGCTATTCTCTGAAGTCCCTTTGCAGTCACCTCATTTTGCAGAAAGAAAAGATTCAATGACAACCATCTTGTGTGGTAAACAAACTGCTCCTCAAACAAGCAATGCCTTCTACTTATTTATCTTTAAAGAAAACATCCCAGTGGTGGCTCACACCTGTAATCCTAGCTACTCAGGAAGCTGAGATCTGAGGATTGTAGTTTGAAGCCAGCCATGACAGAAAAGTCCATGAGACTCTTATCTCCAATAAACTACTCAGAAAAAGCCAGAAGTGGCTCTGTGGCTCAAGTAGTAGAGTGCTAGCTTTGAGCACAAAGAGGCCCAGGGATAGTGCCCAGACCCTGAGTTCAAGCCCCAGGACTGGCAACAAAACAAAACAAAAAACAAAACAAACCAACAACCACGAAAAAAAAAAAAAAAAAAAAAAACAACGCCCCAAACTCAGGAGACCACCTTGTTTCTATTCTGCATCTATAATAAAGTGATAATTTCTCCAGAACTCCTCTAAGGACAAGAACAGCTAATAATGGTCAACCAGGCTCCACCTGAGACTTGGGACTGTTTTAACTATGCATACCTTTATCACCCTCTACCCACCCAACTCTCCCTACTTAACCTGAAAGCAATGTCTGCACCTCAAAAGATGGCTGAAGATGTACTGAACTGCTGTGTTCCGGTGCCGGGCCCCTCACCGTGTCTCTATCTGGTGTGCAAGGGTGAGTGGTCCGACCTAACTGGAGCGTGGACTGTGGGCCTGGGGTCTAAAAGCCAGTTTCAACAACCTAATTACAATGGCAATCCATGACAGAAAGATACCAAAGCAAAGTCCCAAATATTTGGAAACGAACATTTTAAAATAACTCATAAAGAACAAGTCATGAGGGATCTAAGACCAAGTGTGAGGGAATATGGAGGAATCTAGTTGAACCAGTGCCTGACATAAAACTGGAAGGCGAGAATGGGGGCAGATGCACAGGTCCGAGGCAGCCTTGGGCGCTCCCTGGGGAGGCTCAGCTAGAAGGTGGGGGGAAGGAAGAGCCCAGGCCCAGGGAGAGGAGCCCTTTGGGGCTCCCTGTCACTGAGAAGGGGGGACCTGACTGCTGGGTGAGTACTGACCCCAGGTGGCGCGGGCCACAACCGCCCCTGATTGCGGTCCTCGCGGTGCCAGGGTCGCGGCGGGGCCACAGGCAGCCGCGTGCAAGGTGCGCACTGTCCCTGCGGAGCCGGGAGCAGAGACAGTTCCGGAGGGCGGTCCCGAAGGCCTGCGCCTCGCACCTGGAGAGCCCGGGGGTGGAGCTGGAATTCCCCGCGCACGAGGAATTCTCGGGGCCGCCGGCGGGGTGGCCCGGGAGCGGGGCCTGCAGCTGTCTTTGCCTTATAAGGCAAGAGGGGCCGGGCGGGGCCGGGGGCGGGGCCGAGGCCGCCCGGCCCCCTCCGGCCCCATCCCCGAGGCTGGGGCGGTGACCGGGCGCAGCGCACCGCGGCTGCAGCGGGAGCGGAGGAGCGCGCAGAGCCGGCCATGGGCAAGTCAGGTGAGCCGCGGGGCCCTGGGGTCGGGGCGCAGGGATGGCCCTGGATCTCCTAACTCCGGGATCCCAGTCGTCGTCACTCTGTCCCGCCGCGGGCCTGTTCCCCGGGACGGGGGAGGGGGCTCTGTCCGGCTGTGATGCAGGACCCCTGGATGCCTGATGGAGAGGGCCAGCGGCTAAGCGTTCCGATGCAGAGCTCGAGTCGGTTCCTGAGCATCCGGGAAGCCGGGGTGGCCGGTGCGGACACTGGGAGGGAGAGAGCGAGGGGGGCTGGGGAGACGGAGGCGGGGTCCTCCTGGCTGCAAGCCAGAGATGGCGTCAGGGAGGGTTTCCCGGCACTGGGGGGATTCGCGCTCTGCGTCTGGCCCAGGCGTGGCTTTTGCTTTGTTTCAGGACAAAGTTAAGAGTTGGCAGAAAAAAAAAAAGTCCCCGAAGTGTTACAGGATCTCCCCCAACAGCGCGGCTGGCCGCGTTCAAACCTCCCGAGAACACTCTGTGCGTCTTTGCATTCTTCCTCTCCGAGCGCCCTCGGTGCTAGGCCAGCCGCAGAGTGATCTGATCCTCCTTTATCTCTGACCTGTTGCTGAGGATCCCTGAGGCTGTGGCTGTAGTGGTGACTCTCTGTAGTGTAGATCTCTCTACACCCCTCCGCCTCTGGATGTCAGGCATCCAGGCCTGCCATCCTGGCTGGCAAGCACTCTCCAGTGCCCGTGCCTGGCACTCACAACACCTACCACCCTGCCTGACAACCCTCCCTGCTTCTTTTATGTTTGTATGTTTTTGGTACCACTCCTAAGGCTTGAACTCGGGGCCTGGGCACTGTCCCTGAGCTTATTTTGCTGAAGGCTAGCTCTCTACCACTTGAGCCACAACTCCACTTCTGGCTTTTTGGGTGCCTAATTGAAAATAAGAGTCTTATAGACTTTATTGCCTGAGCTGGCTTCGAAACTCCATCCCAAGTCTCAGCCTTCTGAGCAGCTAGGATTACAGGGATGAGTCATTGTGTGGTGCTTCTCCCCCAGCCCCTCCTTCTAAGCTCAACTCTTAGGCCCAAGTTAAGTCCATTCCTGATTCCCATGCAGAAGGACAGAGGGATGGCCAGCTCTGTGCATTCTTCGTTGTAGCCCTTTCTTTGTGGGCCTGGCACAAGTGTTTAGCCTTACATTTGCTTTCCCCAGACTCCTCACTCCTGGCTGTTAGTGATGGCTGTTAGTGATGCATTTATCTCAGCATTGTTCCTGTTTTATAGTAGTTTCGTATGGTGACTCATAAGTCAGCTTCACTGGGCTTCTCAGCCTCATGTGAGGAAGGCTTGGTCCCTCTGCATCTATCTGTCCTCCAAGACCTGGATTCATAAGTTACCAGAATTGAGAGTATGTGGCTTTCTCTGGCATTGGTCCTCACCTGCCTTACTTTGGGTTCTACTGATAAGTATGCTTAGCATTTTAGCCTGTTAACCACTTGCTATATGATGCAGGGCTCTTTCCATTGCCATGCCTATTTCCCCATCTTAACAATGGTCCATATGATCTTGTCCTGTAGAATAGGATGATAGGTGGTGATGGGCAAACTGTGGCAGACGTGAGAGAGCACTTTGAGATTGCACTTGAGAAATCAACTCTTTTCTCTATAAATTTAGAAGAAAATCTTGAAAGCTACATGCTCTCTTTTCTGTTCTTTTTGTCAGTACTGGGATTTGAACACGGAGTTCTGTGCTTTTGCTAGGCAGACACTCTACTTGAGCCACTCTGCCAGCCTTTTAGTGTTTGTTACTTTTGAGATACAGTCTTACTTTATTCCTGATCAGGCTTGGACTGTGATCCTACTATTTGTGCTTTATTGGGATGTCAGACATGTACCATTGTGCTCTGCCATTGGTAGAGATGGAGTGTCATGAGTTTTCCCCCAGTTGGCCTACCAGTCTCCATATCTCAAGAAGGTAGAATTACACCACTTTCCCCAGCTTCTAAAGCTATGTTTTAATCAGTTATTACTGGCTTCTTCCATCATACAGTTTTCTAGAATATGCTACTCTGCCTATTCTACTTTGCCACCCCTCATCAGTTATCTCTGTATCAAGCTGTGGATATCTGTTGTCTTTAGGAGTATTCACTTAGATTGTGAACTGAGTTTTTAAGAAGCTGTTTGGGGTGAGGAGTAAGAGGTAAGAAGAGATCGTGCATGCACTTGTACAGAGGGTAGAACTTACAAAGGGGAAGGATGTGTCTCCTCTCTGATGGACCATCAAAGACTTTTTGAAGAGGTGATTGATCCCAGAAGATCTTGGGAAATTGGGTATTATCTTATAGGTGCATGTCTGGGGTGCCATCCAGCACAGCAGCACTAGAACTGTGCCAGCGAGCTGGGCACCCGTGGCTCATGCCTGTAATCCTAGCTACACAGAAGACTGAGATCTAAGATTCACAGTTCAAAGCCAGCCTGGACAGGCAACTGTGAGACTCTTATCTCCACCAGAAGTGGTGCTGTAGCTCAAGAGGGACAGTGTTCAGCCCAGGCCCAGAGTTCAAGCCCCAGGACAGACAAAAAAAAAAAAAAAGGAAACTAGAACTGTGCCAGGGAGGAAAGCAACTGAAAGCGAGAGTATGGAGGTGGGGGATGGAAGGCTCTCACGGGTACAGACAGGAAAAGACACAGGCTTTCTAAAGAGGAAGAAAGGAGTGGCTTTGCCTGCTGGTGGCTTCTAGTAGGCTTGCTGACAGCTTGCTGTGAATGAAAGGGAAGGGTCAGGCAGGGTGTGCGTCCGGGATGGCAGTGATGCTGTGGGACTGCAGGTACAGGGCGGGCTAGTTTCAGAGGGAAAGGGGACCCATGCCAGAAGCAGGTTGGAGTTGGTTGATTGAAGAACCCTTCCTCTTCCCCCACAACCCAGGAATCTTCTAGAAATACATTTCTAGACTAGCTCCTTCATAGCAACATGTACTTTTGGTTCTCTTCATAAGACTGAACTTCTAGGATCATGGCCAGCTCTTCTAAGGGTCCCTAAGAAACAAAAGTGACTTGTCTGTGTGACCTGGACTTACTGAGCCTTTACAGCACAAGCCCAACCTCGAAGTTTTAGGTCACCAACCTGGACTGCTGCCCTCACATGCAGGTCGCTCACAGAGCTGTGTCCACACAGGGACACTATGTGCCTCCAAAAAGGCTACCAGAAGGAATCAGTTCCTGTCTCTTGAGGCCTGATCTCTCCTCACTACACAGGAGTAGGACGACTCTTTGCTCCAGAGCTGTGTAGAGCAGCAGACATCGCTGTGAGATTATCGCACCCCAGATGTAGCTCAAAGCCCAGAAGCAGCTCTGCCCCACGTCAGAAGACCCCAGTTCTTGCTCTCAGTAGGTCCTGGCTTCCCTACCTGGCCACGGTGCCTTGGGCTCCAATGGAAACCTCTTGTTCCTAATAATAATGATTGCCAATCATTAAGCTCTGGCATTTTATAACACCAAACTTTGTAACAAGTCTTAATATCCTCTCATCTCCAGATGGAGAGATCAGAGCAGGCTTCTAGGGACTATAGTAACTAGCCAGGAATTTTCAGACTGAGGCCCCTGGGTCCTCTGAAATAAGAGGTTGTGTGGGCCAGTTCTACCCTGGCAGTTTGCTTCCATCTGTTCAAAGAGAAAGAGTTTCCTTGCATTAAAGGTATTTTGAAAGCCACAGCTGTCATTCTTGGCACGCAGATGGGGACCCTCTGGTTCAGGAGTGGGGCCTAGCCTCTGGGCAGGCCTGAGTGGAACCAGCAGAGCTGGAGTGGCCTGAGCTGGCTCTTCTCTGCCCCGAGTCCTTCAGCTGTCCAAGGAGAGTGAGAGGCCTGGAGAAAGGCTACTCTCCTAGGAAGTAGATTCCTGTTCCCATAGGCAATTGAGCAATCTTCATGATCTGTTCTTGCCATTAGGAAAAGAGGAGCTGTATGTGCAGTGCAAGTGTGCAAGATTGGGGGCAGAAGGGGGGTGAAAGTATAAATTAGCTCTGGCTCTAACAAGAACTCACTGGATGACCTGAGGCCATTCACAAACTGCCCCAGACATTGATTTCCTCTTTGTAGCAAGGAAAGGAATTCTGCTCTAGGACCTTTACTGTGCCCATGTAAGAGCCTCATTCATCTGTTCTTTCATTCACTCACTCACTCACTCATTCCCTTAATGTCCCAGCTTGGCAGTGCTGAAAACTGCCTTCACATCCCATTTTGTTATCAAACAGCCTTCAAGGCTGGCCTTGAATTCCTGGTCTCCATCCATCCTCCTGCCTCCACCCCTGAAGAGTTGGGATTACTAACAAGCACTTTTGTACCTGGTTTACAGAGCGATTTAAATATGATTAGTCTCCACATTTCCCTTAAAAAAGACCTTAAGCCAGAGGCTAAAGAGCTCTGCATCAAGTAGAGTTGATATTTAACAACTTCACGGTGTTCTAAAACAGTTCTAAAGCTTTTCCATAGGTGAATTCACTTAAGCCTCCTCACGTGAGCCCTGTGAAGCAGCACCAAGGGATTAAACACACAGCTAGAGAAAGGCAAAGTGAGATTTTTACCTCTTGAATTCCCAGAAACTCAGGCTTCCAGAAAAGGAGCCACCCACCAGAAACTTTGCTTTCTTGTTCTTTTTTCTTTTAATTGCCTACTTTCTACACTTCCTTCCTCCTACAGGAGCTTTTCTGCGTGTGTGTGTGTGTGTGTGTGTATGTGTGTGTGTGTGTTGGTACTGGGCCTTCAACTCAGAATCTTGTGCTGTCATGTCATTTTTTTGCTCAAGTCTGGAATCTACCACTTGAACCACACCTCTGCTTCTGGCTTTTGGTGGTTATGTCCTGATTGGCTTCAAACCACAATCTTCAGATCTCAGCCTCCTAAGTAGCTAGATTACAGGCCTGAGCTACCAGTATATGCCTTCTTTTCTACTGCTCTTGTTAGTTTGGGGGGAAATGGAACCCAGGGCCTTGCACATGCTAGGTAAGTGCGCTATCGTTCAGTTGCCTTATAGCCAAATAAAACCAACTTTGTTCCAAAGGCAAGACCTGACTTCTTTCTAGCTGCTAGCCAAAGGGAACTACCTATCCATAGCCCTGCCCTGGCTATGGACTGCCATGACCTCTTTGGTAGAGCCTCTGGGGAGGGTGGAGGAATGCTATAAGGAAGCCTCTGAAGAGGATGGGGAGCCTGTCTCCACCAAAAGCAGGGAGTGGTGAGGCAGAATCCTGGTGAGTCCAATTAGCATTAGAAACTCAGGCTTTTAAAGGGCCCAGAGCCCTAGGATACCTGTGTCCTGCACCCCTGCCTTTCCAGCACCCCCAGGGAGTCCCTGCTCAGTAGCACAGTCCCTGACTTGTCAGTTCCCCTTGGGCATGTCCAGATCGGAGATTCTTGGCACAGAGAAGACACTTCAAAATCTTAATTCTTTTCTTTTCTTCTCTTTCTTTCTTTCTCTCTTTCTTTTTGGTTGATCATGGGTCTTGAACGCTAGGCCTGGGCCCTGTCCCTGAGCTCTTCAGCTCAAAGCTAGCACTCTACCACTTGAGCCACAGTGCCACTTCTGGCCTTTTCTGTTTATGTGGTGCTGAGGAATCAAACCCAGGGCCTCATGCATGTGAGGCATGCACTCTACCTCTGAGTCACCTTTCCAGCCCCTTAATGCTTTTCTTCCTTCCTCTTTTCTCCCTTTGAAGAATCTTCCAGTAGGCAGCTGCTAACCTGGTATCTCTTTCTTCTTGCTGTCCTCGTCTGTCACCAGAGAGTCATTTCTTAGGTGACCCCTCTGTCATGCTTTGTCTGATGACTCTTTGGCTGTGAGGGTAGGGGTACTCTTCCACTAGTGGGAGAATCTGGGCATTGACGTTCCCTCATATGCCCCAGTTTCCTAGTCATAACAATAAGTATAATAGTGAAAGCTCCATAGAATATGGATGATAAGAATTTAATGAGGTAGGGCTGGGAAGGTGGCTCAGTGGTAGAGTGCTTGCCTTGCATGCATGAGGCCCTGGGTTCGATTCCTCAGCACCACATAAGCAAAAAGAAAAAAAGCTGGAAGTGGTGCTGTGGCTCAAGGGGTAGAGCGCTAGCCTTGAGAGCTGAAGAGCTGAGGGACAGCACCCAGGTCCAGAGTTCAGGCCCCACAACCGGACCCAAAAAAAAAAAAAGAATTTAATGAGGTCACACACAGGCCCTGCACCAGATGTGATTGGCCAGCGAATAGAAGGCACCAGCAGGGGCAGATAGGCCTGCCTCCTTCTCTGGCAGGCACTCTGAGTGGTTGTGACTTTGCTGAGCCTCCCTTTGCCCTGCACTCCCCCATCCTGTGGTGGCCAGGGCCTTCTCTGAGGTCCCAAGGCTAGATGGGTTTTCTCTTACTTTCCCCCTTACCTTTATCTGTGTTCTTGAATGATCTACAGAAGTAGGGTGTGCCTCTTGCTGGGTGTGGTTGACATTGATAACTTGTGTCTTTGGGTTGAGACTGCCTGCTGTGTTGGGAGGGGATGCTGGAACTCCCTGAGGGAGAAGTATGGGGCCCCCTTGCTCCCAGCCAGCAAGGTGAGAGAGGGCTCCCCTACTCCCCGTGGTAGGATTTCCTGTGCCTTTGTGGGGTAGGGGCAACAGAGGAGATGGGGTGTGAGGGGAAATGATGACCTGGCTGGGCCAGTGACAGCCGACTTTGTCTCTGAGCTCAGAGTCTCAGAGTCTGGCTGAACACAAACTTTCACTTTTGTTCCTTCTGACGTCTCTCATACTGGAAATGCAGTGACCTAGTTTCCAGCAGCCCTTTTTTTTTTGCCAGTCCTGGGGCTTGAACTCAGGGCCTGGGCACTGTCCCTGAGCTTCTTTTTGCTCAAAGTTAGCACTCTACCACTTGAGCCACAGCACCACTTCTGGCTTTTTTGTGTTTATGTGGTACTGAGGAGTTGAACCCAGGCCTTCATGCAAGCACTCTACCATGAAGCTACCTTCCCAGCCCTGCAGCAGGCTTTTGTGTCTGTCCTTACTGGCCAAGGACATTGCAGGGCCTACAGCACCTTGGGGTGCAGGACAAATGGACCCCATGGTTCACATCATCCTAAATACCTTAACATGGCAAACCTCAAAAGTATACATGAGGACTTGGAACGTGGCTTAGTGGTACAGTGGTAAAGTGCTTGCCTAGCATGCATGAAGCCCTGGGTTCGATTCCTCAGTACTATATAGCCAGAAATGGTGCTGTGGCTCAAGTGGTGAGTGCTAACCTTGAGCAAGGGAAGCTCAGATAGTGTCCAAGCCCTTAGTTCAAGCCCCAGGACAAGCCAAAAAAAAAAAAAAAGTATACATGAAACGTATCATCTTAACCGGATGTAAATGCATTGTCAGTGGTGTTAGGTATATCCACCGTGAGCTGAAACATCTTGTAAAGTCAAAACTGTACTCAGTAAACCACTCCTTTCTGCCTCCCACCCCTAGAAGATCTGAACATTTTTGTCTTTCATATCAACAAGGGGGGTGGAGCCCATCTCTGGCCACCTGCACCTGAGGACCAGGACCTAGACCCCCTGCCTGAAGCCTCGTCATCTTTACCTCAGTCTCCTCTCCGTTCTCACCTCACAGATCTGGATTCAAAGCCCCTCCCTGTCACCCCTGCATCCCATTCTAGAACACCATAGGTTTAGAGATCTCAAGGCTGGGCACTTCTTCTTTGTCAAAGTCCTTGGACACCTCCACTTCCCTGTGCCCTGGGCACAACTCTTCTCCTCTACTGCAGCCAGCCCTGAGCTCTGTGGGGATTGGAAGGGGGGCATACCCTAGTGTCCTTCCTCTTGGGCTCCCACTAGGGATTTCTAGGCATTTCCTTGAAGACCCCGGGAGATGGGGTCTGGGCATGAGATTGAAGAGGACCCATTTTTGGGTAAAAACACCCAAGAGAAGAAAAGCCCTGGTGAACATGACCTGAGGCACAGGAAGGATTGTGGCACTTCCTTCTTGGCCCTGTTGACACCCTTCCTGCCACCACCCACAGCCAGTACTCAAATGACAAGTTCCTGGTCAAACAGGATCAGCCAAGTATGGCCCTCACTCAGAATCCTACCCCTCCGCTAACTACAGAGGAGACTCCTAGATTCCTAACGTGGAAGCCCAGTGCCTTCATAATCTTAGCCTGGCTAGCTCCTATCTTCTAACATTTTTCGATTCTCAAATCAGGAGTCATTTGTCTCCTGACCCCCAAGATCTTACTAGGCCACTCTTCTTCCAAGTCCTCATACATGTTTACTGGCATGGTGGCTCTTAACCTGTTATTGTCTGTTTACAAGGCTGTCTCCCTTCTGTATGTGAGCTTTGGGGCAAAGCTCTGTTTTTGTCTGCTTACCAGGCTGCCTGCCTTCTGTGTGTGAGCTTTGGGGCAAGACATGGCTGATTGGTCTCTGGATTCCTAGCATTCAAGTGGTGTTCAGAGAATGGATGTAGTGGTACTGCTGCTGAACAAATGATGAATCAGTAGATGGGTGATGTTGGATGAGATATAGATGTTGATGTGGATGGATGGAGGAAAAGGGATGTTTGATGATTGATACTTACATAGAAGGATTGATGAAGGAATGAATTGGACAATTGAGTAGAGGAGATGCTGAATGAATAAGGTCTCATTTCAAACGAAAATTGGTATGTCACCTTGCCTGTTCTTGCCTTTACCCACTATTTCCCTGGCCCCAACCCCCACTGACCTCATCTTTTCTGAGTTCATAATGCAGTTGGGCACTGGTTAACCTCTTCCCTCACTGCAGCCACAGCTGATCATTCCTGCCCCCAATCACCACATGGTCCCGAACTCTCCTTACTCCACTTCCCCACTGCCGCCTTCCCCTTCCCCTCCTCCTTACCCTTCCTAAGTCCTCTTTTCTTTACCTGTCACTCTATTATTATAAAGCCCTGAGTGAACTCCATCCACCCCAGCCAGGATGCTTCTCTGGGCTCCCAAATCCAGCCCTTCCCAGCCTGGTATATCTAGTCTCCCTCTGACATTTCCTTTCAGAAGTCCTGTTGCTGATTGGTCCAATCCCCCAACATCTGCTCTCTACTTCCTGCCCATGCCTCATTCAGCAGCCAGCAGAGTCTCTCAGAAACACAGATCTAATCAACTCTTGCCCCTGCCCCCATTCAGTGGCTTCCCATTGCCTTCAATAAAGTCTCAAATCCCCAACAAAGGCCAGAAGGTTCCACATAAATCAAGGGCTTTCAACCTGCAGGATGCTATCTGGGATGAAGGTATGAAGAGACACCATGTGGGATAGGGCCATTTGACAAGGGTTCTGAGGCCAGAAAGGGCAGAGAAGTCTGTTGTGTGGCCTGAAGTCTGAGCTAGGCATTGCTCTGACTTTGGGGGAGTGTTTTCCTCTGTACTGAGCTATTCTCTGTCTTGTCCTCTTTTAGCTTCCAAAGAGTTTAATAATGAAGTCCTAAAGGCCCACAATGAGTACCGGCGGCAGCATGGAGTCCCCCCACTGAAGCTCTCCAAGAAACTCAACCGAGAGGCTCAGCAGTGAGTCTCCCAGCTTCCCAGGGGTTCAGGCCCTTCTCAGGGCTGCCATTGTAGTCAAGAGGGGTCTGCATTTGGGGGGTCAGATACAGCCAGGCTTGAATATTACTATGCCATTTGCCCAAGCAGGTCTCTTTGTTCCTCTGTGCCTTGATGCATTCCTCTGTAAAATGGGACCCCTGGGGGGGGGGGGCAGAAGCCATGAAAGTGTGTTGCTCCCCTATTTCCTCCAAGAGCCTTGGCAAGGGAGGAATACTCAGATATTGCAGCTCTGAGTTGCTCAGAGCTCAGAGGTTCCCTGGACCCACATTGAGAAAACACCATGGATTTCGACAGGTATTCAGAGGCCCTGGCCAGCACAAGGATCCTCAAACACAGCCCAGAGTCAAGTCGTGGCCAGTGTGGGGAGAATCTAGCATGGGCATCCTATGATCAGACAGGTGGGTATTTCTCTGCTTTCCTCCTCTCTGCCCAACCTGAACCTAACGTGTGACCTCCATAGACCTTCCCTGGTCCAGTGCTCTGTATGGCTTAGCCACGGAGTAGTTGCAAGTCCAGAAAGGGGGAAAAAAACCAACAATTGTGTGAGTCTGTTCCCAGGCTGAATTCAGTTTAGAGCCAGCCAAGTACTGGGAGCCAGGGACAGAGATGAGTCAGACTGAGCGTCCCACTTCAGAAGCTCCCAGGCTGAGGGGTGAGGGCGGAGGAGACAGAGGATCTGGACAGTTTCAGCCTGATTCCGAGGCTTTCAGACCAATCCTGGCTACTGTGAACATCTTTCTCCATTTTTCCCCGCCCCCAAATACTGTAGTGCTGGGATATTACCTTTCATAATTAAGGTAAAGAAGTAAGGCTTTTTCCATTTTGGAAATCAAATGGAAAACAGTTCCTCCATCCAAGATCTCAAGCAAAATGTTCTTAAACCCTGAGCAAACTTTCTCAAGCTGTCTGGCTCCGACAGCCCTGAAGTTGGCTTTTTAGGAAAAAATGTCAGGAAATTGTCTCACTCGCTGAAGCGCTTACTAAATCCCAGCTGGACGATGACGTACTTCCTCTCCAGCCTCACATTCCTGGGAGTTCCCTGGGGGGAGGGGGAAGGGGGAGCTCCCCTAGCACAGCCAGGGCCCCCTCCCTGCAGTAGAAGCTTGGGCCTGTGCTGAAAAAGGCAACAGCCCCTTCTGAGGCCTTGCCGTCAGCGTCCAGGCTCCTCCTGACCCCGGCTGTGGTCTTGTGGGCTAGGGAGAAGGGTTTGGAATGCAAAGAGTCTCACTTGGAACTTGGGAGATGTTCCATTCTAGCCTTGGATTACATCAAGTCTCTGGCCCCAGTTTCCCCATCTCATTAGAGAGAGATTGGATACCTCACCCTGGCTGCACACTCATATCTTTTGAAGAGCATTTATCCTAGCCATTCAGGAGGTTGAGATCTGAGGATTGCAGTTTGAAACCAGCTAGGGTAGAAAAGTCCATGAGACTCTTAACTCTAATTAACCACAAAAAGCTGGAAGTGGAGCTGTGACTTGAATGCTAGAATGCTAGCTAGTCTTAAGCACAAAAGCTCAAGAATAGTGCCCAGGCCCTGAGTTCAGTCAAGCCCTAGGACCAGCAAAAACATAAAAATAAAAAAAAACTAATGCCCATGTCGTTTCTCAGAGAAACTGACACAGTGGATTTGAGGAAGGACCCAGGCTCAGGTTTGTTTTAAATGGCCCTCATGAGGCTGATATGTGTTCCATAAACCACTTGTATAGCATTGGGGAAGTTGCTGGAAATCTGGGCTCATAGGCTCCTTCCCACACCTACTAAAATCACAGCTGTGTCTTAACAAGACCCCAGGTGACTAATGCCCACATTAAAACTTGAGAGTTACTTGAGAGTTACTCTCCCTAGGTTAAGGTTCCTCCTGCCCCTGTCCCTGAGCTCAGTAGCTGCTAGGGAAATGCTTCTTACCTTTAGGACCAGTAAGGGCTCTTCATCCTGGAAAATCTTTGGTCTGCTAATCTTGCCCAGTCAGTCACCTTTCTTCCTGTGAGCATTGTAGGAGGCAGGCATGGTGTAGGATGGGGACAGAATCTCCCAGAGCATCAGTCTAAGGTTCTTGGAGTGTCGCATTGACCCTTTCTTTAGAGGCCCAGGGAGGGGGCGCGGTTTTCTCCAGGACCACACAGCAAGTCAGTGAATGGCAGGGATGCTCATGCAAGTCCCCTGCTCCTGGAACCCTTGATCCCAGGCCAGTGCTCTTGCCAACCCCCACACATTCTCTCTTCAGTCTGGTCAAGCTCGTAGAGGATAATTCCCTAGAAGTCTACAGGGCCTCTCACATACACAGCCAAATGTACCTACTCATTGGTACTTTATCAGATGTCCAGTTGTGGGATGGATGGTTTGGAGTTTATGGAGATAAATAAAGGGAAGAGGTTGTCTGTGGACTTTGTTACTGAGTTTAGAACCCTGCCTTTTCCGTACAGGACAGGAAGTGGCTGATAGATGGTATGGTGAAATCAAGAACTACAACTTCCAGCAGCCTGGCTTTACCTCTGGGACTGGTGAGTGACAGGCCCACCAGTAGTCTGGGAAGGTTGGGTGTTTATCTTCAAAGAAGAACTAACTTTCAGAAAGTTAATAACTCTTGCATATTTCTCTAGTTTGACTTTGCCCAGAAACCAAAACTCTCCCCAAATACCTGCCCAAACTATACCCCATCCCACATATGAGCCCCCTCCCCATTCCCCAGCTTAAAGTTCTACACATTCCTACAGTGTGTCCTAAGAAGACTGGATTTTTTTTTTTTTTTTTTTTTTTGTCGGTCGTGGGACTTGAACTCTGGGCTTGGGTGCTATCCCTCAGCTCTTCAGCTCAAGGCAAGTGCTCTACTGCTTGAGCCACAGTACCACTTCTGGCTTTCTATTGGTTTATTGGAGATTAGAGTCTCATGGACTTTCCTGCCTGGGCTGGCTTTGAACCGTGATCCTCAGATCTCAGCCTCCTGAGTAGCTAGGATTACAGGTGTGAGCCATCAGCTCCTGGCACACAAGGAGACTCGATTTTAAGAGAGCTTCTTTTTTTTTTTTTTTTTAGTTAGTCATGGGATTTGAACTCAGGGCCTGGGTACTGTCTCTGAGCTCTTTTTGCTTGACTATTTTGACTATTTTGAGCCACAACTCCACTTCCAGTTTTCTGGTGATTAATTGGAGATCAGAGTATCACAGGTTTTCCTGCCCCAGCTGGTTCTGAACTGCAATCTTCAGCCTCCTGAGTAGCTAGGACTATAGGCCTAAGCCACCAGCATTGGGCTAAGCTCTTCATTCTTCAATGGGCCTCTCTGGTATCTTAAAACATGTCTAAGCAAGGGACCAGTATCTCATGCCTATAATCCTAGCTACTCAGGAGGCTGAGATGTGAGGACCATGGTTAGAAGCCAGCCCAGGCAGGGAAGTCTCTGAGACTAATTTCCAATGAACTACCAAAAAAAGCTGGAAGTAGTAGAGTTGTGGCTCAAGTGGTAGAGCACTAGCCTTGAGCAAAATAACTCTAGCAACATCTAAACCCTGAGCTCAAGCCCCAATACCAGTACCACTAAAAAAAAAAAAAGCATGTCTAATTAGTCATCCTCCCTCAATCCATCTGAATCTCCAGTAGCCAGACTATCTCCTCTCTGGCCCAGGACTCTCCCAGTTAAACTGCAGTAACTCCCTGGACTATTCAGGAAAAGGATCAGCTGGACTTAACCTTCTTTACCAACCCCCCTCTACCTCTTTCTGCTCCTCTCCATACCTTGCCGCCTCCCTTCACCATTCTCTCTAGTCACTGGATCAGCCAAGCTTGGGATGCAGAAAAACTGGATCTAGTGTGGACTTGGGTCTGTTCTGTTCTTTTATCTTCCCTGTCTAAGGGAAAGGAGCATGATGGTGGCTTCTAAGAGGCCTTCAGAGAGCTGGGGGTTCAGAGGCAGGGAAGAGCTTTCTGGAAGGATCCTTGTCCTTCTCTAGGCTGCCTCCAGGTCAAGCAGCCAAACATTTAGCCTATAAGAGCCTAGGTAACTGCTTTGGCCTCTAGGTTCCTTTATTTCTTCACTGGGCTTCATCTGCCTTCCGTCTTTCCTCAAAATTAACACAGACTCCATCTTAGCCCAGGACAGAATTGGGAAGGGTGTGAATCTGTGTAATCAGAGGCACCAGAGAACCTGAAAGGCAGCCGTCAAGGGCTGTCTTCCCTTCCACTCACTCCTGTCCCTCCCATGGGTAGAGTCACCTCTCTGGGTTTCTTCAGAAGTAGGAAATGACACGTTCTCAAAGCCAGTCACAGTTTCCTGTGGTTTACTGCTCACCCTCTAGGGTAGAGGTTCTTGCAACCCTCTGGGCAGAACTCTGGGCCATTTCTCCTCCAAGATGGAGAGCAAGAGGCTACCCAAGGCCTGGTATGAGCACTAACATTTCCACAGAATGAGGGAGGAGGAGTCGTGATGAAGAATGTGCAGACAGAACCTTGTCTTCTTTGAATAAAATCAGATTCCAGATACTGGAAACTTCATAGCTTCTGGAGTTGCTTTACCCATGAACAAGATTGTTAAGCAATCGGACATGTGTCAGAGCAAGTTCTTGGCACTGTTAGTGTGTGTACACACTACTTGATAGTTACCCATGCCAGCCTCCACAGTATTTGAAAGTAGGGCTTTCAAACCATAAGAAACTGAGGCCCACAATGGGGCAAGAGGCTCTGCTCAGATCTTCTGCCCTTTACCTAATGTCTCTTCTTCCCATGGCTCCTGCTATGAGGCTGGAATCTCACAAGTCAGAGTAGGGAATAGGGCTCAACTCCCCATGATTACAAACTACCTGTCCCAGCCATCTCCCACCATACAGGGACAAATCTTGGATAACCAAGCCTTGTGCCATTGCAGACCCACTGGACAACACTTGGGACAGACACACTGACCCTAAGAAAAGAATGGGGCTTTGGGTGGTTGCAAGGCTTATAAGACCCTTGAAGAGCCTCAGGCCCATTCTACCTTGACCTTTCCCAGAATCTACATCCCCAGCTTCTTGTTGATAAACCAGTCAAGGGTTCCCTGCCCTGAGTCCATTGTTGGTGAAAGGGCCTTTGCAAGCCCCTGAAACCAATCCCCACCCTCCCCCAAGCCTAGGCCAGCATCTTGTATGGAAGGACAGAGCCTTGCTCTGTGCTTGACAGTTTAAATGAGATTCAGTTTAAATGAGATTAGAGTGTTTGTTCTGAATGAGTAATATTTTTACACCATATGAAATGTAAAAGCAAGCCATAGAAGCCCTAACTTCTAGCACCTTCCTTCCAAGAAGCATTCAAGTGACACCAGTTTCTTGTGTGCCATTCTAGAGTCATTCTAAGCTTGTACCCGTGTGTGTGTGTGTGTGTGTGTGTGTGTGTGTGTGTGTGTGTGTGTGTGTGTGTGTCCTTTTCCCTTTTTCACACTCTGGGAGTATGTGATGCATTCTGCCCTTGCCAGCAATTGTTCCATTTTAGTCCAGAGAGTTTTTTCATTCTTACTCATTACACATCTCTTACACGTTATCCTTTGCCAGAATATGCTGTAATTTATTCCATATGCTTTCAAAGGTATAGTTTAGAAAGTGGGGTCCATAGCAGGAAAGAGGATGTCCCTTTAAGGAAACAATGAAAGAAAGGAAGAGGGAGGGAGAAGGAAGGAGGGAGCCAGGGAGGGAGAGAGAAAGAGAGGAATGGAAAGGCAAGAGAGAAGGAGGGAAAGATAAATAGGAAGAGGGAGGAGCTGTTGTTAGAAATTACTGTGTATCCAATGGTTGCTAAGGAAGTTGTGTCCTTTAATTAATCTCTAAATACCCCTTATTTAATTAACTCTGTGCGATTGGAGACTTCCCCTACCAGAGGAAAGATTGCTTAGTCTCATCTCTGAGAAAAGCTGCCAGAGGGAGTTTTGTGCTGCTAATGTGCACTTCGTGTGTCTAACCATTTGCTTAGCAACCTGAGGATAAACAAGCAGCTTCTTCCTTGTCTGGGAGTCAGAGCAAGGGATGGTCAATGGCCAAAGCATGTGGTTTCTTAGAAGAAAGCTTACTTGTAAGAAAGGGCTTGAGCCCTGGGGAAGAGAAAGCTCAGAGACTAACGGTAAGGCCTGACAGAACTGCCAAGTGACTGGCTCTGTGGCCATCATCACAATGACCAAGGGGGAAGGGGCAAGAAAGACAAATAGTAAAGAGGCTTGCTTGCGCTTTTTTTTCCCTTTCAATTGTGGGGCTTGAAATCAGGGCCTGGGTGCTATCCCTGAGCTTTTTCCGCTCAAGGCCAGTGCTCTGCCACTTTGATCCACAGCACCACTTTTGGTTTTCTGGTGATTTATTGGAGATAAGAGTCTCAGTGACTTTCCTGCCTGGGCTGGCTTTGAATTGCAATCCTCAGCTGTCAGCTTCCTGAATAGCTAGGATTGTAGGCGTGAGCTACTGGTACATAGCACTTTCTTGCTTTTTCTGACAATAATGTAGATTGAACCCAGAGCGTTGCAATTACCACACAGATGTTTAAGCCATGACTTCAGCTCTATTTTTCTTTTAGTTCTTGCTTTAATTGTATCATCAATGTATGGATTTATTTTATTACTATGTAGCCCAGGCTAGCCTTTAAACACTTGCAATCCTGCCTGCTTCCATTTTCGGAGTACTGGAATTAAATTGTGTACTACCACACCTAGCTCTCCGATTTTTTTTTTTTTTTTTTTGGCATGGGGCTTAATCTCAGGGACAGAGAACTGTCCCTGAGCTTTTGTGCTCAAGGATAGCGCTCTACCACTTTAAACCACAGCTCCACCTCTGGTTTTCTGGTGGTGAATTGTAGGTAAGAGTCTCACGACTTTCCTGCCCAGTCTGGCTTTGAACCTCCATCCTTAGATCTCAGCCTCCTGAGTAGTTAGGATTACAGGTGTGAGCCACCAACACTGAGCTCACAAAGAATTTAACAACTTCAAATCTTTTTTGGATGAAGACAAATAAATTATACCTAAATTCAAGGACTATAGAAATAGAATATAGTTGTGGGGGGAAAAAAACTAATCAGCAAATATTGTTTTAATTCTTACCATTTACTCAAAGATACAAGAGAGATACCAACTTTGTCTGTGCCCTGAAATTAGCCAATCTGCCTATGTTCTCTCTCTTCTCCCTTTCTCCCTTTAATTCTGTGTAAAACATTTATAACAAGGTAGGTATAGTAGCATTTGCCCATCTTCCCAGCATTTGAGAAGTTGAGGCAAGAAAATCTCAAGTTTGATGCAGCCTGGGCCATATGGGAAGACCTTGTCTTAAAAAATAGTAAGAATAACATAAAATTTACCATCTTAACCATTTTTAAATGTGTACCTCATTGGCATTAGGTACATTTGCATTGTTATGAAGTCATCACTCCCTCCTTCTCCAGAACCTTGTCATAAACAGAAAGTCTGTAGCCTTAACACAGTATCTTTCTCTCTCTATCTCTCTCTGTTCCTGCCTGTGCTACTCACTGCTGTACTTTTAACCTTTGTAAATTAACTTCTCCGGTAACTCCTATAAATAGAATCATACAATATTTGTCCTTTAGGGTTTGGCTCGCTTTGTTTAACATAATGTAATAATGTGTTCAAGATTCATCAATGAAGTAGCATATGTCAGAATTCCACGTGAACTTAGGGTCTTGAGTTCAAAGATGGTGCTCCACCACTTGAGCCATACCTCTGCTTCCAGCTTTTTTTGCTGGTTAATTGGAGATAAAATCTCACAGATTTTCTTGTCTGGGCTAGTTTCAAAACTCAATGCTCATATCTCAACCTACTGAGGAGCTAGGATTACAGGCATGAGCTACCAGCACCCAGCTCTGAATTCCTTTTTAAAGCTAAATAGTACTCCATTGTGGGTGTGGCTACATTTGAAGTATCCATTCATCAGTGGACAGTTGGCTTTATATGACTTTAGTCAATTTGTGTAAATTCACAATGCATATGAATGCCTAAATATCTTAATCTTTGCTTTAAATACTTTGATATATTACCTAGAAGAAGGAATACTGAATCTATAGAATTTTAATTTTTAGAATATTATATTTAATGTCTTTTTCTGATCTTGTTCATGAGTGTTTTTAATTAATTTTATTTTGTGTTTATGTGGTACCAAGGAATCAAACCCAGGCCCTTATGCTAGGCAAGCACTCTATTGCTAAGCCACATTCTCCGCCCTATGTTTAATTTTTTTTTGTTTTTGTTTTTGTTTTTTTGGGGGGTCTGGTCATGGGGCCTGAACTCTGGGCCTGGGCGCTGTCCCTCAGCTCTTCAGCTCAAGGCTAGCGCTCTACCACTTCAGCCACAGCACCACTTCCAGCTTTTTTTGTTTCTTTTTGCTTATGTGGTGCTGAGGAATCGAACCCAGGGCCTCAGGAATGCAAGGCAAGCGCTCTACCACTGAGCCACCTTCCCAGCCCCTATGTTTAATTTTTTGAGGTACTGATCCAGTCACAAAAATTTCAACCTCTCTTCATCAACACAATTTATTTGTGTATGTACATATGTGTGTATAATGTGCGTTTTCTGAGACAGGGTTTTGCTACATAGCCAAACTTGATCTAGAACTCATTTTATAGCCCAGGCTGGTTTCAAACTCACCAGCCTCCCTGGTGTTAGGCTTAGTAGAGATCCTTGAATGAAAGTTGGCATGGCTTCAGAACTCAAAACATAGAAGGCCTACACTCCCATTGAAGGCACACCTGAGTCTCGGAGGGGATCTTCCATTGGACTTTCATTCAATTATTGATTGAGCAAACGCTCATTTTACACTTTTCATATACCACACTATACCTAGGTATTGGGTATACTTTGGTAAAAAAAATAATAACAAAAAAACTCCACTTTTTATTTTCCCTATGTGGGGCCAATAGCCTGGTCAAGGAGCAAGCAGTAAGCAAATAATCAAATTTGCCATTGCAACCTATGCACTGGTGGCTCATGCCTGTAATCCTAACTACTCAGGAGGTTGCGAGCTGAAGATCAGTTCAAAGCCAACCTAGGCAGACAAATCTAAGAGAGTCTTATCTCCAATTAACCAGCAAAAAGTAGAAGTGGAGGTATAGCTCAAATGATACAGCACCAACCTTGACCCTGAGTTCAAGACCTAGTTGTGGCATCATTTTTTTAAAAAGCCATTGCAGATGTCCATAATGATGGGAAAGGGAAAGAACAGAAAGTATTCAACGAGTAAAAGGGTAATTGCAAAACACTTCTGTGAACAAGTGACATTTAGCCTAACACATAAGGGACAAGAAGCTGCTGATCACTGAGAGTGTTCTGCAGAGGCCAATGGGTATAAGGCTCCCCTGTGGGAAATAACTTGATGTATTTGAGGAATAGAAAGGAGACCATTGGGCCAAAATATCAATATTCATTCCAGTTACAATTGGAAAGAAGCAAAAGATTTTTTTCCTCCTTGGAGAAGTAAACAAATATGATTTCTGCCTCAATGATTGCTGGCTACAGAAGTTTAAGATTTTAAAAAAAGAAAAATGAAGAAAGCCAAGGTAGATACCAAGAGCCATTCAGGCAGCTATAGAAATGTTCTGAGGGGAAAGTTTGCATTTAAGAACCAAGATTTGTGGAAGAGATGGATTTGAGATTTATTTTTGAGTTAAATTCTTAAGGATTGAGTGGGGGCTGGGAAGGTGGCTCAGTGATAGAGTGCTTGCCTTGCATGCATGAGGCCCTGGGTTCGATTCCTGAGCACCACACAAGGAGAAAAAGCTGGAAGTGGTGCTGTGACTCAAGTGGTAGAGTGCTAGCCTTGAGCTGAAGAGCTGAGGGACAGCGCCCAGGCCCAGAGTTCAGGCCCCATGACCAACAACAACAACAAAAAAGGATTGAGTGATAGCTTGTTGCGGGGTCATCAGGGAAAGGAAGATTGCAGGCTCACTGATAGGAAGCATGTGCAGTGAGCTGCTGTTGAAGCAGGTGGAAGGGTCAGGAGAGGAGTAAGTCTGATGAGTGTTGGAACCAAAATCAAGAGTTTGGTTTGGGTAGATTACATCTGTGAATCAGCCAATTGGAAATGTGCAGTGTGTTCTTATGTCTGGAATGCAGAGCAGAGATTTTAGCTGGAGAAATCAATCTGGGAGCCAGAGAGAGATGCATTTTCCTAAAGTATAGAGAGAAAAGCAAAGAGCTTGAGCCTTGGGAAATGTAAGCTCTCTAGCACTTACAAGGGAGGGAAAAGAGAAGGGACAGTGGGACTGGAGAAGTGGCAACCTATTGTGACATCAAGGAACTCAAGGATGGAGAGTGCTTTGAAAAGAAGAGATGCCAGCTATAGCAAATGTTCCTGCATTGTCAAATAAAATGAAGATTAAAAAGTGACCACTGAGCCAGGCACTGGTGGCTCATGCCTATAATCCTAGTTACTCAGGAGGCTGAGATCTGAGGATCACAGTTCAAAGCCAGCCCAGGCAGGAAAGTCCGTGAGACTCTTATCTCCAATTAACCACCAGAAAACTAGAAGTGGTTCAAGTGGTAAAGTGCTTGCCTTGAGCTGAAGAGCTGAGGGACAGCACCCAGGCCCAGAGTTCAAGCCCCATGACCAAAAAAAAAAAAAAAAAAGATGTGGCTACTAGAAAGTGACACAGTGATCCATGCTCAGAGTACAGTTTGAGAACAAGGTTGAGGCAGGTACCAGGGAGTCTGGCATCACAATTGCTGGATCTCCTGAACTTTGTCATCATCTCTAATAGACCATTAGAAATGTTGAGGTGGCTGAGGTCTATGTACAAGATTGAAAGGATCTGTTTAGAAATCTAGGAGGAGTAGGAGGACAGTGGTTCACAGCTGGCATGAGATTCAAATAAATTAACAATTAAAGCATGTTTGGAGATATGAAAATGGCGGCCTAGTAAGCAGAAAACCCTCACTTCACCACCCTCACTAATACCACCTTACCACCCCCGAAAGAAAGAAAGAAAGAAGAAAGATCCAGAATGATGTGTTTTACCTTTCCTTCCTGATTAGTATCTGCAAAGACCAAGCTACCCAAGCCTGGCAAAATGATTCAAGGCTATAAAAATCTGAACATTTTTCTCAGTTGACCTGCTGACTTGCCTGTTGTCTTCTTTCCTCTATTTATTCTCTACAGGACACTTCACTGCCATGGTGTGGAAGAACACCAAGACTATGGGAGTGGGGAAGGCATCTGCAAGTGATGGGTCCTCCTTCGTGGTGGCCAGATACTTTCCAGCAGGGAACATTGTCAACCAGGGCTACTTTGAAGAAAATGTCCTGCCTCCAAAGAAGTAATTTGTCCAATGGAATGGGAAAGTGGGAGACATAGGAATGCAGCTATTAAGTGCCTAGAACAACGAAAAAAAAAACAAAACAAACCAGCTGCGAGTCTGTCCCTGTGGATATATGTACTTGTGTGTATGATGCGTGTATCTCCTAAGCACACACTTGAATGTATAGCTCTGGATGAACTCTTTCTTAAAGGAATTAATCAATGTTAAAGAAATGAGCATCGGAAGCATTTATCTAGATGGGTACCCACACCACAATTGTATTCTGAGAGTTGGGTAGAGGGAAGGGGAACCAATTAATTTTTTTCTTTTTGTTGATTTTAGGAGCCAATTTCTTTTGTACCTCCCCCCGCCCGCCCCGTGTCCATCCTTGAACATTTTCTATGCCATATATTTGTAATGCTGAGAACTGAAGATCATTCTATGTGATTTTCATGCATTGAGATATCAGTAGATATCTCCGAGTATTAAACCCTCATTTAACTGTGCCATAGGACAGCCTGCATTGACGACCTAGAGCAGCAGCCAGAGTTACTTCACAGAGTCAGTGAGATTTCTCAGTTGGAAGACATGAGATCATCCACCATGCCTCCTGGGATTTGCTAATGGGATTGCCAACGAACAAATAGAGCAAAAGCTTTACTTCCGAGCTCAATGTTACCCCTGGTTTCTGGGGAGTTGGAGTAGGTCTGGAATGCACACATGCACACACACACACACACACACACACACACACACACACACTGCCCCCAGGTGGCCCAGGGGCCTTGTTCTTAGAGAGAGCACTTCACACTGCCTGGGAAACTAGCCAGGAGGCTTGGAGGATGAAGTCAGTGGTATGAGGGTGAGGGTGACCTCACTCAGGGCCCCTGGAGGGAGCCCTCCAGACTCTGCCCTACCCCCATCTTCGAGGCCCCTTCCTGGCAGCTGTGGCCGCAGCTGTGCTGCTGCTCGCTCCTGGAATGTGTGACTAGCCCAAACGATCCTGGGTGGTGTCCCAGACAGGGGCTTAGAAATGCTCATTTGTTCTGTGTTTTGCCTTAAACTATACAAAGTCCCTCCCGAATAGCAGTTTTACAATGTCTCTCTGGGATAGATCAACCCAGATGCCCAACTGAGTATCCCTGAACCAAAGCTTCTCCATCTGCCAGGTTAGCAGGGGCCCAGGGAGAGTTGTTAGCCAGTCATTGAAACAGCTTCCTGAAAGTCTAAGTTGAACTGTGAACACAGTCTTGTGCTGTACCCTTCATTTCATCCAGGGATATTGACTAATAAAACAATAAAAATCTTTTTCTTTTGTGTAATATCTTCCTCCAGTGCGATTTGTTTTGATTCGAAGTTAGTGGCTGAAGTAATTCATTTCCTTGAGTATCTCAACCCCAGGGATTCTTCTAACCCCTCATCTGTAAACCCTGTGCTGCTTAAGTGATCAAGTTCTGTACCATGTGACTTTGCCAGCACACAGCTGATTAGACTAGAGTGAAGACCTGATCTAAAGGAAGGCCATTCATAGGTTTGCCATGAACTGGGAATTTAAGCAATGATACTTGGAAACAATTTACCGGTGGAACTGAAAAAGTGAAGATGTCATGAGTTGGAAGTAAGCCAAAGCTATATGTAGGGAAGCTCTGAGTGGACAAGACAGAAATACAGTTACCAGGTTCAAGAAGAAATATTTTAAAAGGGAACTTTCCTGAACTCTCCAGTTCAGGGCCAGTTTTGAGTATTTTCAAAACAAGCCCTTCATTTTTTCCAGGGCTTCATAACAAACTAATGTGTTAACTGATGATCCCCAAAGATTAGGGGCCCCAACCCTCAGGAGTCTCCATGAATAGAAAATATGGAGCTGGGCAGGCAGCTGGTGGTGGGAGGGATGAAGAGAATGGGAAGGGGTCCCTTTTGGGCCATGCCAGGCAAACTGCCAGTTGAACTTCCTGGTGGCTTCTAGGGATACCAACACACTACACACACACACACACAGCCAGGTGGTAGTGGTGGGAGCTGGAATGCCACCAGCCTGTAGAGGCTAGACTCTGTTTTCACAGTTGGTAGGATTAAAGAAAAAGCTGTTTTCCAGGACTGAAAAAAAGCCAGACAGGGAAAACAGTTGAACACTCCCATTTCACACTACTTTGATGGACTTCCTGTCCTTTTTTTTCTTTTTCTTGAGACTAGATCTTACAATGAAACTTGATTTTCCTGCCTCAGCCTCCAGCATGCTGGGGTTTCAGTATGTATACTGCCATATCACACTTGTGTGTGTGTGTGTATGTGTGTGTGTGTGTGTGTGTGTATGTGTGTGTGAGATGGGATCTCACTACATTGCATAGGCTGATCTTAAAACTTCTGAACTCAAAAGGTCCTCCTGCCTCACCCTCCCCAGTTGCTGAGACTGTAGACATACATCGCTGTAATGGTTCTTTGAAGATGGCAAGTCTCACAAATCGAACAACAGCCTAGAGCACAAACAATCTGGATTACCCACCCTCTTTTGAAGCCAGAGGGTGAGGAAGGAGACACAACCCTGACTTGTGTCTCTAAGAACAGGCTTCCCTCACTAGGCCTCAGGCCTCAGTTTGTGTGTCTGGAGGAGATCTGACACTTGGGGTTAGGTCTGTCAGATCCTCTGGTTTCTACCACACCCTCCAGGCACAGTTTCTGGCTGAAGGCATCCATGAGAAAGATCCTTCCTGCACTGGTACTTTGGGGCCTACTGGCCTCTGCTCCTGTAGATTCCCAGGAAGTGAGATCTACCAACCTGGATACCAGTGGGAACCAGAGATGTCAGCATTCATACTAATAGAACAAAGATACACAGAATTGGCTGCATCTGTCAAATGGCTGCTGCTTCTCAGGAGGTAAGAGAAGCATTCAGAGCATTGTGTAGGGAGCCTTCCTCCAGAAATTCTTAGCCACACATCATACCCCCAGAATTTCCTCAGAAATTCTAAGCCATGAGTCATATCCCAGAAGACTTAGTCTTCTTCCTTCCATCCTTCCTTCCCCCCTCTCTCTCTTTCTCTCTCTTTCTTTTTTTGCTTTGTCAGGTGTAAGGCTTGAACTTAGGGCCTAGGTGCTGTCCCTGAGCTGCTAACATTCTAGTGCTTTGAGCCACAGCTCCACTTCCTCTTTTCTAGTGGTTAATCAGAGATTAACCACATAGATTTTCCTGCCCAGGCTGGCTTTGAACCATGATCCTCAGATCTCAGCCTCCTGAATAGCTAGGATTACAGGTGTAAACCACTAGCTCCCGGCAAGACTCAGTCTCTCCTGTCCAGGCATCAAAGTGAACAAAGTCTTAAAAAGTAACTGTCTTTTAGAAAATAATTTTCAAATCACTAGATCCCAAGCTAAGTTTGATCTAGAATGAAGGAAGGAGAGAGAGAGAATCAAGAATGAGAATTTGACTTAAGCCAGAGAGGGAAGAGCTGGAGAATCTCCTAATCTGAAACTGGCAGTCTCCTAGAAAGGGGCGCTCAGGACCACCTGAGATTCTGGAGTGGGACTTGCGGCCCCAAACTGAGCTCAAGGACCTGAGTCTGGCCTGACAAGGGCCTAAACCAGGTCTTCTAGGCACCATCTTGCAAGTGCAAGGGCCTGGCTGTGTCCTTCCTGGAAGCTTCCCATAGGTTAGACAGCCACAGATGCACTCCCCCACCCCCCAGAACCCCAGAGCCTTGCACCCCAAGCAGCCCCATGGGAGGCGGAGCTGGCTGGGTCTGTGTGAACAGTCAGGAACCTGCGACTGAGACCACGCCTCCTGTTGGGCTCAGTGGGAACAGGTGTGGGATGGCCAGGCAGTGAGGCCTCAGCGCAGGGAGTCCCTGGGCAGTGCCAAGCGCTAAGGAAGTGCACCCTAGGGCTGGAGATTGGTCTGCAGCCTCACCAGCAGCAGGCTCAGAAATCTCCACCCTGCCCCACCCCCACCCCCATCCCCTGCCACACTCCGGAGACCACCCCAGCGCCTGGCAAACTGTAGTATGACAAGGAAAAAAAAAAAAAAAGCAAAATTGCAGCTGGCATTTATTGAACTTTTGCTAAGGAGTGAAACACCATGCTTAGCATTTTCTCACTTGAACTCTTCCCAGAGTGTTATTCATCCATGGATGGGGAGGGAACTGTGGTTTAGAGTGTGAGCCACTTCATCAAATCCTGACCTTTGCCCCTTCAACATTTTACAAATGGACTTCTGGGAATGTGGAGGGAAATGATCTGTCTCTGCCCTTCTATCCCCAGGCTGCCTGGCTCCTGCATCTGGCAATTAGGAGTTTCCTCCTTCTCTCTCTCTGCTTGGGGCAGAATGGTACCCTTGAAACCCGAGGGTGACTCTTCTCTAATGCCCAGGATCCTTGACAGAGAAAAGGACTGAGACCTGAGAAATACTGTAGAAAGCTGAGTGGTTAGGGAACTCCTTGACAGGGTACAGAGTACTGAGATATAGACAGCCCTGCTCTGTTTTCTACTGGCTCTGTGACCTTGCATGAATTCTTTCTTTTTCATGACCTCAGTTTCCCTCCAGCAAAGTGAGAGGATTCTTCTAGATAATCTGATAAAACTCTTCCCTCCCCTCGCCCACCTTTCCTTATCTCCCCTGCACATGTGGTTTCCCACAGTCCCACGAAAATTGTCTCTAACATTCTAGAAGCCTTGAAATGAGATTTGAAAGTCCAGTGTTGGCAGTTTCCTCCAGAATTCTGGCCTTGGGTTCTAGAATGTCTGGCTCAGGAATGTTGGAGCCATCAGAGGAGAGAAGGGCTCTATGCCTCTGAGAAAGACCACCTCAAGGGTGGCATTGTGATGACCTTATGATGTCACTCTATGACCTCATCCCCTCTCCCACCCCACCCCCTACTCCTCTCTGTCAACTACCCTGCAAACAGCCATCAATCTGAATCCCAAAGGCCCTATTCTCCAGTACCTGCTTCTGATCTTCTGCCTCCGCCAGCAAGAAGCACCATGAAATTGGAATTCACTGAGAAAAACTACAACAGCTTCGTGCTGCAGAACTTAAACAAACAGAGGAAACGGAAAGAGTACTGGGACATGGCCCTGACAGTGGAACACCATGTCTTCTTCGCACATCGCAATGTACTGGCTGCCGTCTCTCCGCTGGTGAAGAGCCTCATCTCCAGCAACGACATGAAGACCACCGACGAGTTATTCATCACCATCGACCCCAACTACCTGAGTCCGAGCACAGTGGACCAGCTCCTGGACTACTTCTACAGCGGCAAGGTGGTGATCTCAGAGCAGAATGTGGAAGAACTGCTCCGGGGGGCCCAGTACTTCAACACACCGCGTCTGCGCATTCACTGTAACGATTTCCTCATTAAGTCTATCCGACGGGCCAACTGCTTGCGCTACCTCTTCTTGGCTGAGTTATTTGAGCTCAAAGAGGTCTCAGATTTGGCCTACTCTGGCATCCGTGACAACTTCCATTACTGGGCCAGTCCCGAAGGCGCCATGCACTTCATGCGCTGCCCACCGGTCATCTTTGGCCGCCTGCTGCGTGATGAAAACCTCCACGTGCTCAACGAGGACCAGGCTCTCAGCGCACTCATCAATTGGGTGTACTTCCGGAAGGAGGAGCGGGAGAAGTATGTGAAGAAGTTCTTCAATTACATCAATCTCAACGCCGTCTCCAACAAGACGCTGATGTTCGCCAGCAACAAGCTGATGGGCATAGAGAACAGCTCGGCGCACGCCACCCTGATCGAGAGCGTGCTGATGGACCGCAAGCAGGAGCGGCCGGGCAGCCTGCTCAGCTACCAGCGCAAAGGGGCCCTCCTTGATTCCGTGGTCATCCTCGGTGGCCAGAAGGCTCACGGGAAGTTCAACGATGGAGTGTTTGCCTATATTATCCAAGAAAACCTGTGGCTGAAGCTCTCAGAGATGCCCTACAAGGCAGCAGCGCTCAGTGCCACGGCGGCCGGGCGCTACATCTACATCTCCGGTGGCACGACTGAGCAGATCTCGGGGCTGAAGACGGCGTGGCGGTACGACATAGATGACAACTCCTGGACCAAGCTGCCTGACCTGCCCATTGGGCTTGTCTTCCACACCATGGTGACCTGTGGCGGGACCGTGTACTCAGTGGGTGGAAGCATCGCCCCGCGGCGCTACGTCTCCAATATCTATCGTTACGATGAACGCAAGGAAGCCTGGTGCCTGGCGGGGAAGATGAGCATCCCGATGGATGGCACTGCCGTGATCACCAAGGGCGACCGGAACCTGTACATTGTCACCGGACGCTGCTTGGTGAAGGGCTATATCTCCCGAGTTGGGGTCGTAGACTGTTTTGACACCAACACGGGGGATGTGGTCCAGTGCATCACCTTCCCCATCGAGTTCAATCACCGGCCCCTGCTCTCTTTCCACCAGGACAACATCCTGTGCGTGCACAGCCACCGGCAGAGTGTAGAAATCAACCTGCAGAAGATAAAGGCCAGCAAGACCACCATGTCAGTGCCTCTCTTGCCCAACAGTTGTCCCTTGGATGTGTCCCATGCTATCTGCTCCGTGGGAGACAACAAGGTGTTTGTATGTGGAGGTGTCACCACAGCCAGTGATGTCCAGACCAAGGATTATACCATCAATCCAAATGCCTACTTGCTGGACCAAAAGACGAACGAGTGGAAGACCTTGGCCTCTCCACCAGAGGCACTGGACTGTCCCGCCTGCTGTCTAGCCAAGCTACCTTGCAAGATTCTTCAAAGGATTTGAACAACTTTTTAAGTGGGAGAATAAGTAAATGCATTATTATTCACAGTTTAATAAGAGAAAGAGAGGAAGGTGGGCTTTTGGTTCCTTCTTAGTGTTCCAGCCTATGTTTGGTCCCAGGCCAGGGCTGCTCCCTGGTAAAACTGAGCTGGTTATGTCAACAGAGGCTGGAATGGAAGTCCCTGCTGGGTGGGTCTGAGGCATATTGGGTGCACTGACTCCCAGTGGGGAGAAATTCAGGGTTACTGTGTCACTGGTGCTATCTAAACCGAGACTGGAAAAAGAACCTCCTCATTGTGGGGAGGAATTGAAATGTACCTCCCAGGCACTGGCCAAAGAGGTAGCTAGAAAGATCCCCAATTCTATATCCTTATAGTCGCCTCTCAGGCATCTGCTGGACTGTCAGAAAAATCTTTCTTCAGAGTTATGATCCCTCAGCTACACCCTCTCCCAATACCCACTTCCCTAGATTGTTTCAAGAGAGTAGGGCAGGGCCCAAGCAAGGTCTGGGAGAGGAGCATCATGGGCTGGGAAGGAAGAAGGTAATATGGGCAAGGCTCAGGGAGGAAGGCAGAAGGGATTCAGGATTAATAGGCAGTTGTATTTGTATCGCTATGGTAGTTTGTGTCTTATTTGTGGAGAAGTTGGGGATTACTTAATATGGTTTCTAGTATATAATCTCCCAGATATATGAGGCTCAAGGAACTGGAACTAGAAGTGAGGCTAAGATAGAGAGAGAGGGGGGGGGAGGGAGGGAGGGAGGAAGGAGAGAGTTGTCTATTAGAGAAGCTTGGGGAGAATGACAGAAGGCAGATGAAGGGTGTAATAGGGATATAGTCCCTGGGACCAGGGGTCCTGCCTTGAATACAGTTCATTCCTTATTGGGTGATCCTGGGTAAGATATTTAACATCTGTGTGCTTAGTTTCCTCCTTCATAGAAGGGGAATAAGTGCTTCCTTCATGGTGTATATGTGAAGTTTAAGTGAGTTAATGTGTGCAAGATGTCTAGGACTGTCCCTGGCATGTGTTAAAGTGCTATAGAAATACTTTTTCAAAAGATAAAAGAGGAGGTAAAGCAAGGGTTTAGATTCTTAGGCTCTTGAATTAAGTGAGTCCTATAAAATACTCTTTGAGACACCTATTTCAAAACCTTTGTGAGCTTTCTGTAATTTTTGTTTTTTTTTTGTCGGTCATGGGGCTTGAACTCTAGGCCTGGGTGCTGTCCCTGAGCTCTTCAGCTCAAGGACAGTGCTCTACCACTTGAGCCACAGTTCCACTTCCGTTTTCTGGTGGTTAATTGGAGATGAGTCTCATGGAGTTTCCCCTGGGCTGGCTTTGAACCTCAAACATCAGATCCCAGCCTCCTGAGTAGCTAGGATTACAAGCCTTTCTGTAACCTTTCTTTAACACGTTTCTATTTCTATCATTTGTGTATCCACAAATAATCCTCAATAGTTTAAATGCTAATTCCTTGAAAGCTATAATCTTCAGTCATCCATCCATTCCTCAATTCATTCATTCACAAATTTACTCATCCATCCATTCATTAAATCATATGCATGTAAAATAATACATACCATTCAATGGGAACCCTCTGTTCTAGTTCCCTGTTTCAGGTGTTAGAACCCCAGCATGACATACAATCTACAGCCCAAGAATGACAGTACTTACCCCAGTGCTGTGCAGCAGGAATGTGATATAAGCCATGTGTACATTTTGTTTTCCTAGTAGCCAGTTCAAAAAGTAAAAAGAAGCCAGTAAAATTAATTGCAATATATATTCCATTTAAGCCAGCATATATAACATTCTTCCACCTAAATATGTAGTTGCTGGGTATGGTGATACATACCTATATACTCTCAGCATTTGGGAGACTCAGGTAGAGAGGGTCATGAATTCCAGGCCTGCTTGAGCTACATGACAAGACTCTGTCTTGAAAAAATAAGTAGTCAATGTAAAACTTTAATGAAACATTCAGAATTCTTTTTTTTCTTATTGCCTTTGGAATTCACTGTGTATTTTACATTATAGTATGATTCAATTCATCCTAACCACACACACACACACACACACACACACACACACACACACACACACACACACACACACACACACACACACACACACACCCCTCATGAGATTAGAGGCTATTATAATGAGCCATGTTGGACCCTTGAGACATTTTCAGTTCAAATCTGTTTACTCCCCTTCTTCCCACTCCATCTTTCTTTTCTCTCCTGAGACATCTCTCAAAGTTTGTACTTCTCTAGCCCTGGGGATCCCCTACCTCTGTTCTCCTCACTGCCAGCTCCCAGCTCCCAGATCCCAACTGCAAGAACAGGGTCTTACATATCCCTACACTAACTCTACTGCTGTACCACAGGATTAGCTAACCACAGGATTATCTCTTGCTGACTCCCTACACCACTGCTCATGGCTGATTTGATTGGTTGACTGATAGCCTGATTTTTTTGGTTAGTCATGTGGCTTGAACTCTGGGCCTGGATGCAGTCCCTGAGCTCTTCAGCTCAAGGCTAGCATTCTACCACTTGAGCAACAGCGCCACTCTGGTTTTCCTGGTGGTTAATTGGAGATAAGAGTGTTATGGACTGACCTGCCTGCATTGGTTTCAAACCATGATCCTCAGATCTCAGCCTCCTGAGTAGCTAGGCTTACAGGCATGAGCTACCAGAACCCAGCACAGCTGATTTTTTTTTTTTCTTTTTTTTTTTTTGGATCCGGTCATGGGGCCTGAACTCAGGGCCTCGGTGCTGTCACTCTACCACTTGAGCCACAGCGCCACTTCTGGCTTTTTTCTTTTTGCATATGTGGTGCTGAGGAATCGAACCCAGGGCCTCATGCATGCAAGGCAAGTGCTCTACCACTGAGCCACCTTCCCATCCCACAGCTGATTCTTAATTCTCTCTGCTTTCTGTGACTCCCCACTCTTCTCTTTTCCCAGTTCCCAGCCACTTACCTCTCATCCTGCCATTAGATGTCCAGAAAAAATAGAAGTCATATGACCTTATGAAATCACTTTTAAAATATTGTCCTTGCCCTAGAAAAAAGCCTTGTCCTTTCTAGCTTTATTTCTCAGTCTTGGGCAACTACTGATCTACTTTCTGTTATCATGGATTTGCCTATTTTGGTTATTTCATATGAATGGAACCATACATTTAAATGGCTTCTTTCACTTAGCATCATGTTTTTAAGGTTCATCTATCATAAAGTATGTTGTATTTTTTGCTTCTCCATTCAATAGCTGACCAACATTTGAGTTATTTCCCCTATTTGGCCATCACAACTAATGTTTCTGTGAGCACTAATGCACAAATTTTGTGTGGGTGTATATTTTCATTTCTCTTGAATGTATATATAAGAATGAAACTGCTAGATTTATCATAATTCTGTGTTTATTTGAGAAACTGCTAGACATGCTTTCCAAAGCAACTGTATCATCACATTCCATTTCACAATGTATGTATGAGAATTCCAATCTCTCTCTAGAACCTGGCCACCATGTCTTTTCTGTTCTGAATATGGCCATCCCAGAAATATAAGGTTGTATCTCGTGTGTGTGTGTGTGTGTGTGTGTGTGTGTGTGTGTGTGTGTGCTGGTTTTTGAACTTAGGACTTCACATGGGCTAGACCGGTGTTCTACTGCTGAACTGCATCTCTAACCCTGATTTTGGCTGATTAGTTTTAGGATAGAGTCCAAACCAACCTCTACCTCAATCTGCCTACTTTAGGATTCCCATAATTTCTGGGATGACAGGTGCAGTGGAGTTTCATGGATTTTTCTGCCCAGAATGGCCTAAAACTGTGATCTGGCTCATCTCAAGATAGATGTCAGGACTGTGCCATTGGTTGAGATCAGGGCTCCTAAATTCTTTTGTAATGGCCTCAAATAGCAATCCTCCAGATTCTAGTATCCTAAATAGCTAGGGATGAGCATGAGCCACTGGCACCTGGTTCATAGTGTTTATGATTTGCATTTCCCTAATATCTAAGAGAGTCTTTTTGTGAGTTATATGTTGACAGTTGTTTTTTCTATGTCCAATTGCTATCAGAGAAAGACTGATATTCTCCAAAAAGAGCTGGGGTTTTGTTTTGTTTTGCTGCTGCTCTTTTAAACAGTATTTTGCTGTGTTGCCCAGGCTGACCTCAAACTCGTGACTCCCCTGCTTCTACCTTCCAAGTGCTGAGGAAGAGTTTTGCAAGGGTGAAACAAAGCATGGAGGGCCATAGTGCATCAGACCACAGAATCATGGCAAGTCTCCATGCCTTCCCTATCTATTGACCTTGCTTAAAATATTCTAGATTGGTTGAGAGAAGAAAATATTGGCTCCCATGTGAGTTCCCTTTACATTTTCATCTTTCTCAATTCTGAGAAAGGTCTGAGCTCCTTTTCTAACATATTTAGATGTTCATGTTTCTTTTTCTTTTTTTAATTTTGTGCTGGTCCTGGGGCTTGAACTCAGTGCTTAGGCACTATCCCTGATTCTTTTTGCTCACAGCTATTGCTCTACTGCTTTGAGCCATAGCTATACTTGTGGCTTTTTGGGGGGGTGACTAATTGGAGATAAACATTCCATGTATTTTCCTGCCCAGGCTGGTTCTGAACCGTGATCCTCAGATTTCAGCCTCCTGAGTAGCCAGAATTATAGGTGTGAGCCACTGGCACCTGGCAGAAACTCATTTCTTATCATTTAAAAGATGGTATAGAAAATTCCACATTTATTTGCATCTTTGAAAAAAAGAAAAAATGTCTAATTTAGAATGCTATTCAGACTTTCAAGAAGCATTTTAAACATCTGTGTGTGTGTGTGTGTGTGTGTGTGTGTGTGTGTGTGTGTGTGTGTGTGTGTGTGTGTGTGTGTGTGTGTGTGTGTGTGTGTGTGTGTGTAGTGCTGCTGATCAAACTCATGGCCTTGTTTTTTTGTTTTTTTTGTTTTTGGTCCGGTCGTGGGGCCTGAACTCTGGGCCTGGGTGCTGTCCCTCAGCTCTTCAGCTCAAGGCTAGTGCTCTACCACTTGAGCCACAGCACCACTTCTGGCTTTTTTTCTTTTTGCTTATGTGGTGCTGAGGAAT